GAATAGGGAAACCCCCGAATATTTACCGGTATATAACTGTATATCTAGTGTTTTAAATAGAACATCAAAAGATGAATGAAACTCCTCGTAAATTATTTCGGTATCGGTGGTCACAGTAGTACTGTATTTGACTTTGGCTTTGGTTTCTAAACGTACACTGATGAGGGGCAGTGTAGTTTATGGTTAAATATTGCAGTTGGGTCATCAAAATAGAGAATTTCTTCTTCACCAGGGTTAATATGCAATTAGAACGCAATTCATCAGGGGAGCTCGAAAGGGAAAAAAGGAAAGAAAGAGGACCGGAAAGGGGAGTAGTGAGAAGGCAAGAAAGGAGAGAGAGAGAGAGAGAGAGAGAGAGAGAGAGGGAGAGGGAGAGAGAGAGGGGGGGGGGAGAAAGAGAAAGAGAGAAAACAGCGGCAGACGAAAAGAGAAATATGTTTTTCTTTCACTCTCTAAGCTTTAATTCAATCATCATGATAATTGTAAATGCAACGGCTGGAAATAAAAAGTATTTTACAAGTAATTACTACTTGCTATATGATGTCCGAGGACGGTGCTTTCCCATGTTGACAAATTTAATGTCACAGAAAAATAGAAAGGGAAACGAGAACTAAAGAGAAAATATGAAAAGAAGGTAACTTGGTCCCTTCCAGACCCTCCACGACTGCCTCACATTTACCCCCGCCTAGAACAACAGTGCCCCAACCCCCAATTACCGGAAATCGGGCTATGCCACTATCAGTATACGTGAAAAGGTTGGTACATGGTGGTAACGTCGTTAAAATGGACCTATAGACTTTGAAAGATCACCTAGAAGAGTTATGACTCTGAATGTATATTTTGATGATGCACTTACCTTTTTACTAGTCATAACATAAAGATGCCATGAGTCAGAATTTCATGAACGTATTTATCAAGCACTTATGCATTCGATGAAGATAATGAATAAATATACCTTTTAAAGGTTTCTTTATCATTTTGGTAGTGTGTATAGTCTAAGTAGAACATGTTCACCTTTTCCCTACATATCTTAAGTAAACTGTATTGTGTAAGCCAGTATGTACTGATGTTCAACTCAAAGTACCCGCAATACATCATTCATTTGTGGCGTAAATCATTAGGGAATTAGAAATGTCAGATAGTTTTATTGATATTTGCAAATGTGACGGTACACGTACTTTTAGTGCAAACACCTCACACGCGAATATGATCCATCAGTGTTTGCTTCTTTCAAAAATAGGAAAATCCAACATTTGATCACAAAATAGTTACTTATTTCAATTATTCGATTTTCAAGTCTAGTTGTGTTTGTGGTGCTCAGATATATAGGGGAAAGGTGTATTTGCCTTCAAAATCATCTTGGGTGGATCCAAAATTATTTGCCCCCGGGTTGGGGAAGGAGGGGAGGGGGCACAATCATACATGTCAGACAACTAAACAGAAAGAAAGGTTATGATAACGTGTTTTTTTTTTCTTCTTCTTATTCCTCTTAAAATGTCGTCCTACTACAAGAGAGCAATCAAAAAAATGTTACGTTATGATATAATACAGATCGTTTATCGTTATATGCATGTAAACAAACATATATTTTATGTTTGTGTTTGATAATGTAAAGGGTTGGTTTATACAATAAGTAGTTTATGTCAATAAATGGAATTATATCACAAGCCATAACATTTTAGAATCACGCACACTGGCGCATGAGACAATGTTCGAAACTTTAGACGATGTCGAGAGCACAAACTACGTGACCAGCCACATTCATCCCTCCCGCACATTCCGCCATCTTTCCTTTCTTAGCCCAGATAATTAGGGACATTTTGGTGGAAAAATCCCAGGGGCAACAGAACGAATGGCACTTTTCTTTGAGAAGGTTAATGCTCTTTAATCTTTATAGATCATGTGTTTGAATGTGTAAGTCCCGAGGGCTCAAAACGGTGTCATCATAAATAGCACGCAACCCAAACCTCAAGAGATAGTGCATGCTCCGACTAGAATTGCAACGTGAGGTACGTGATCATAATAATGTGCGAGAGTAGGTGGATTCTTTCCCTCAACAACAGTAAGAATATCTCATATTTCGGCGACGAACACAGAAGTTAACCCGACAAAGCGAAACACATGGCAAATGTCCCCATCAGAAAACATAGCCTCCTTGCCACGGGTCACGGTATACCAAAGAAACTTATTAAATTGTAATAAAAGCTGTTTTCTTCCAAACCAGCGTCGTATTTCACGTTAAGGTATTCCTTCTGCATTCCAGCTGCCTTTGAACTCGTAGAAGATAGAGCGAGAAAGCAAGGGCTTAGCTCAGAACAGACGTCATAAAAAAAAACTTACTTCAGTTTCTATTTTTGTGATTACCCCTAACTATTGATATACCCACCTTCCTCTTTTTATGCTATTCATCGTGATAGCTCGGCATGGTTTATCTTTTATTCGCCGACATTCATTGATTCTGTCACCATCTATTATCAACTGACCTTGGATGTAGCACATGATAGCTTAACAAAACATAATCCAGTGCCATCGCGAAAATGAAACGCTAAAAAAACGTAAAGAGATAGCAGTATGACAGTTTTAGAATGATAGAACGTTCGACTCTGTGATTTATGTACAAATTTGGTATGACGAGAATGGTATGGATGGTTGATTAGAGAAGTCATGACATTCTTCTCTAACTTACCAGCGGCGTAGTGCGAGACCAGACATTATTAAGAGGGGACACCAATATTACTCGATGGATGAAAAGCAGATTCTTAACGAGGTCATCAATTCGGGGGAGGGTGTACAAAAGGGTTGCCGAGTCTTAATGAATGTTCCCTTTCCCCCTCCCCTTTTCTACTTCTATCTTCTTTATTTCCCCCCGCAATTAGAAGGGGGTATGTGCCCCCTCTTGCCCTATGTAGCTACACCACTGCAGTGTACAAGTATGGCTAATTCTACTGCATGACATGTCCTATTAACTAGACTCTTCTAAACCGCAATTTGACGTGAAGCACCCAATTAGAATCTCTAATGAATTCCTAAAGTTGCAATTTTAGAAGTTAAGAGAACTCGGACATAAATACGACATGACGGCTAGCGTGGTGAGAGCAGCGGGGGTCGTAGCTCTTACTGGGCACCCTGTGAAGATTTGATGGTGCACCCTAATACGGGTAGTTTCCAGGTTACTATAGCTATTAGATATCCAAACTTAAACCATAACTTCCTCCCTCCTTCTCAGCTTTAGGACAATTTGCTATAGAGATATACGATTGGTTCACCTTAATCGCAATTTCTCCAATCGATCGTTAAGTTAAAATTTGAAGCAAGTATATCAAACTCAGATTGAATTGTGAAAGTTTCGAATCAATGGCAAATCTCTATGATATAACAAAATGATATAAGAGGGTGAGGGGAAGGCCATATTCATAACTACCATCGTGAATGTTATCAGTTTGCAGCTAAGTTATTATGGTCCGCCTGGCAGTAGAGGGAAATTACCTTAATTCTTATCAGTCTATCAATCTAAATTTAAATCAAATCGTAGATCAAGTTTACAGAGATTAATAAAGAATAAAATCTTAGCAATCATCAGAGTTGACCCAAACCTAAATGACTCAAAACCGTGCATGCATTCAATGTTTTCGACATTATTTTCAGTCATGAAAAACCCACAATACTCCTGATACTTGATAATTACACGCCTTCGAGGCCTCTCTCATTTGATTGCATGTATTCAAGGATGATTCAACTCTTCACTAAAAATGGAAAAATTCGACATCCAATTTGGTTTCTTTTCTTCTTGTTTTTCTTCTTTCAAGCATATTGCGATAGGAGACGGGTCATCCATCACATATTCAACCCAAGCATTGTTCATGCGAAGACCAGCCTCAAAATAAAGACACCATCTGCAATGGCTGACAAAAAGAAGACCCCCAAAATCGGGATTTTTAAAAAATAATTCCTCTGTCACAACCCCCGAGCAATTTAAACTGATCGTTCTGATACAGGTGATGTGAAAACCGACATGAAATGAGCCAAATTTACAAAGATCAATCTCCGAAGTCTTACAATAGGAAATCTTATAAAAAATGTTGGAGAGTGTTACAAAGGCGTCCCTTGTTGATCTTACAAAGACACCGCGTTTAGACCGATAAAAACGGACAAAAAAAATGTAGTTAATGGGAGACGGATTCGAATGCAACGTACTTATACAAAATAATAATGGAATAACGTACACTATACGTTCAAATACAATAGAACAATACTATATGGCAATATACTTCATAAGTTTAACTTTGATTTATTAAATATTGATATATTACCATAGCAACTTCTACATTTATGTTCAGAAATGATTTCAGGTCGCAAAGTATGTTTCTAAGATGAACCAACTTTGTTAAAATTAGTTCAATGCCAACAAGTTCGCAACGTGCACCAAATAAACCAGAATTGTGCGCCATTTTGATTGGACATGAATGTAGTGATTCTATCTGTTGCCTGTTTAAACATTTTTCTTTAGTAGTATCATAATGCTGACAGGTCTGCTAACTACTGGCGCCATGCAAACCAGAATCGCGCGCCATTTTTGATTGGGACATGTAAATGTAACCTATGGAGCGTGGATCATGAATAGATATCACTAACTTTTGAATTGTACTTTTATGTTTTATTCGTGCGAGCTACTTTGACAAGTCACGGGCCACAAACCAGAATCGTGACATCTCTGAATAATGGCGGATTGTTAAAGAAAGAGGTGGGAGTGATAATTGTCGTGAATTGAATTCAAAGTTCTGATGGGAGCATTGGTTTGAAAAGATTCTAGTTCCCTTATTCAATTGCGTGGACCGTATTCTGTGTGTGCGTGTGAGGGGAGGAAGGGGAAGGCGCCGAAATTTATTGGTACGGGAGCGAAGACAATAGGACGACACGCGACACACGATGAACTTCGAGAATGGCTTCTCCCTCTTGTCATGGCGCCTTCGGCAAATCATTCAATCGGGCAGAACGAGAACTTTTATGTTTTGTTTTTGTTATAAATAAACAGACAGCATATGGGTTGTCATAAAATACAGCTTGTCAAACTGAAAGTATTTAGTTACAATTGGTGTGTATTGGCACGAGACAACTTCATTATTTAACCGTTCTTCCTCGTTAAGCTTTTTAAAAAGTTTATATTTTCGAGGAAGTCATGTTTACTTAATAGGAGACAGTACAAGTGTTTAGTTAATACCTTTATCAAGGCTTAACTCTATGCTTTGGTAAAGTAAATTTCGTCTGTGATGACATTCAGAACGTTGCATGTGGCAAACTAAATATGGATATTTACTTGCAATAATTGTTTTCTTTTTAATCGTTGAGATGTAATAGATAATTTTAATGGTTACAAAGTTTCTATTGATTTAAAAACAATGGATAATCATGCAGATATGTGTAACATGGTTTGATAAGGTTTACAAGGAGATAAGGAACAGTGTGACTCACCATTTGCCAACTTTCTTGTGAATTCGGTATCCTCAATTATATAATCCAAACCAGCTTGGGAATCCATTACTGCCTTGAAGCAGGCGACGCACTCTATCTGCGCGAAGGCATCAGCGATGCTCAGGGAGCGACGGCCAGGGCGGCCGGGACTGGCGTTAGCACAGAGCCGCTCTAAGGAAACGTAAAGTAATTCCAATCCGTGTAGCTCCAGGAATCGTAAAATCCATTGGCGATCGCAGCGTTTGAGCTGCCTCTTGAGTCGCGTATAGCTCTGAATGGAAGGACCACTCTGAATGAGAATGATAAGGCCCTTTGGATCGCCCGGGCCTTCCGCAGGACTGCTTGTACTACTGTTCTCACCCGAAGCTGAGTCATAGCCCAGTAGATCTTTGTGTATGCTCGACCGTACGAGCAACCACCGACCGGCGGCGCTATTTCGTTTCACACCATCGTCAGAAGCGGCGGCGGCGGCTCCCGCGCTTTCTGGACTGCGGGAGAGGATGTCGTCTGCGTGTGACGACCCTTCGACATCGTCGTCCTTGTCGACGTTCTCGATACGGACATCGGGAATGACAGGCCGTCTCTGTATGGCAAGAGACTGTGTGGGAGTCTTCCTACCATCGTCGTCAGCCATAGCAACGCGTCGTCCTCGTCGTCATCCACCAGGTCATCATTGTCTGGTTTTCAACGAGCTCATTCCGGACGATATAAAGGTCAATGCTTGTAAAATGTATTCAAACTCGGGAAATAGAAGTTCGGAATTTGCCCCTACAAAATGCCTCTTGTTCACAGCATCTGTGTTTGAAGGAGAATAACGGAGGGTAGATTATGATTAGATAATGGTGTTTCTTTTTTTTTAATGGAAAATTTAAAAATAAAGCGAAAGGTATTATTTAAAAAGTTAATAATAATAGCATGAAGTTTACCGAGGTAGGGGCATCAGACAGTTCTTTAAGCCTCTACTGAAATTCGGAGCGTTCTACTAGCAGTGGGTGTTGAAATATCAGTGAGTTAGGGTGGCAACCTAAGGTGAGAAATTAATATAAAGCTGTTTTTACAAATGTATACAACTACATGATGCCAAAACTAAATTAGGAAAGCATGTCTTCTTATTGATGTGTTTTAAATCAAAGTATTGATGACATGTGTTCAAAATCATTATATTCCTATGCTGTATTATCCAAGATTGCTATCTTTAGAAATGGGGTCAATGAACTTCGATGTTTGGCCATTCTTCACTAAAACAACCATGGTAATAGCCCCAGAACAGAAACATATGTTAACCATTTTTCTGGGATAGGAGACGTAGTTACCAAATTTAATTTTTCAGCAACTTAAGCTGAAAAAATGATTCACAGATATTTGTATTTGTCTATTTAAACTGGAACAGAAATGATGAAAGGGTGTTTCGCATTCAATATCGAACCTCTCTGGGGATACAGTAAAACTTTATTAAAATTGAGGAAGATATTTCTTTCATTTAACACGGTGGAAAGTGAATAATTTCCTTCCAAATGGTTTGCTTTCCAATACCTGATGTAAAATCTATCACAATTCAAACAACAGGTTTCACCAATCATAGCGATGGTCGTAACTACTTCCTTGTAAAATCGTTACAGCGCCATCTACGTTTACTGTCATGTCAACATTGGATCTCTTGGGTATTTCAGTAAATAAACTAATTCCATTTTATTGGAGACTCTTCCAATCATTGAATCATTTAAGTTTACGCCTGGTCTGAAAATAGAAATAAACCAACTCTAGTATCTTTATAATAATATAGTCTATTGGAAAATAGAAAATGGAGAAGTGCTGGATAGTGCTGGAAAGAATGAATGAACAAAGAAGCTTGAGAAAAACAATCTGGAGACGAAAGGAAAAAAGGATAGGGCACAGGGGGGGGGGGGTATCATGCTCAGGGACACCTTAGAATAGAAGATGGATGGAAAACGGGGAAGAAGAAAACCAATAATTTGGATGATGTCAGGCTTGGTAGGATCATAATACATAATGAAGAAGAAGGCTAAAGATAGAGAGAAATGTAGCAAGAGCTAAAGAAGGCTCTGGTGAGGTGACCTTTCTTTGGCGGAAAACCTGAGAGAGAAAAATAATATCATATAGTTCATCTGGACACATGTGTGCTGTTTTATTTCGATACTCAATAGATGAAATTATTAAATTAATTATTATAACCTACAGCTGCTGCACAGTCCACCTGCTAACTGATGATTAATGTTTTCCGTGTACGACGATCGTTTATAACATGATTGAGAAGGGATAATTACATTTAAATGAGAGTTAAGAACAACGATGTGGAGGTGTCGTGGTATAGTTGTTCATTAACTCGACTGTCAGTCAATAAATAGTGGGGGTTCCTACGGCAATACAATTAATAAACATTTGACACACTCCACCCAGGTGAAAATGGGTAACTAGCTATTATAACTATTATTAGTATTATTTGTATTATTTGTATCATCATTATTATCAAATGTAGCATATCTTGGGCTGTGAAGGCTCTGCAAGTGCGCTGTATTAATGTCGAAATATTCACAAAGTTTATAATTATTTCATGATTCTAAACATCTCCTCACATACATGACTTCCTTCTGTAAACGAAAATAATTGTGTTGTTGTTGTCGTTTGTTGGTGTTATCGGCGTTTCAATCTTTTTGAGAATATTTACGCCTTTCACTTTTTTTCCTTTTTTCCGTTTACTATTAATTCGTACTGTTCATAAAACTCTAGTTTTTGATAATGTTTTCCTTTCTTTTTTCTTCTTCTTTCCCTTCTTCATTTTCCTTTTTTAATAGCTTACTGGTCTGAGTGCCTACTCGTATGTTTATCTTTTTCCCCTTTATTTTCTTGATGAGGAGGGCTCGGGAGGGCTCAGCAATGGCGCACCTGCATCTGAAATAGCGGTCAACCGTTGCTTCATTGGTCTTAGGAGATCGGAAGGGACACTAAACCAGTGTGAGGGGTGTCAAAATGAATTCCCTCATGTACGCAGGTGTTTCATGGCACCTAGAATAATTTTCCCGTGTATGAAAGCGCAATGCTTCCGATAATACGATGATTTCGAACAAACTGGTTCATATTATTTTTCCTCTGTTTTTGTTGTTGTTGCTCGCTGTCACATTGTGTTCGCGGTTTTGCATTTCTATTAATAATGTTTTTGTTGTCATTCATGCATGCTTGATCACATGCATGGGAACATAATTGAAGAAAAACGAGAATATTAAAAGATTATCACATGAGGATAATGTATGCATGATGTGATGTACAAGTACACTTCATGAGACACTCACTAAATGCACTTAGAATTACGAATCCGTGACTTAATGGAGAGAAATGAAAATTGATTCGTGCTATACTTTGGACAGAGAAGAACGGTGGAAGGGAACGGAGAAGGGGAGGGTAGAGAGAGAGAGAAGAAAAAAAAGATAGAGAGAGAGAGGGGGAGAGGGAGAGTGGGAGACTAAGAGAGAACATCTGAAGAAGAAAGAGGGGAAGGGGGTAAAAAGTACAAGTAAGGGAAGAAAAGGTCAAACATCAGATTTGTTTTTACAATGGCTAGGAACATGATGAATATGTGAAAACATGTCGAAACCTAACTATTCAATCGATTCTTCTAAACTTCAGGACAGGGTTAAGGCCCGCCCCACAGATTGTATTTTTTTGTGCCTGGCAAGATTCCCAGAGCCCCTTTCGAAAACATAATAATGAAATAGTGTACAGAAAATTATGATAATTGAAAGTTACATGTTGATGGAAACTAAGCCACATTCCAATGGGTATCGGGGGAAATTTAGTAAAAAGATTGCAGCCAAGAGAAGTAATTGTAGGGGCAAAAACGAATTCATTTTTTTCTCTCTCTCACTTGAAAAAAGTTGGGGAAACTCCTTCTAGATTCGACCAAAGTACAGTTGATTGGCCGCTGTACCACGTGTATTGTGCCTTTGCGAGAGAGTGGTTTTGGGTTTCTCATGATTTCATGTCAATTTTTTGTTCTTCTTGGGGGGACTTTGGAGCTACCATTATCCTGTCGTGTTTAGATTGGCGTAAGGTATGTTGATTGAATCTCGTGATTCACACGCAAACTTGTCACCTCGACATCACCAAGAAATGTATTCTTGAGAACATGGACCTAGTAGTAGTAGGTTCATGTAAAGGATAAATGGAATTGGTATTAGGTTAGCTTGGGACATATTCAAATGTTAGGTGTGCATAATGCGTCAAGCCATTTCGATAGCGTTATTGCCTGCGCTGTTCAATCATATCTACATTAAAACGCGATGCGTCTTTCCGCTTGTGTGTTTACCTGCGCTATCTAATCGTAACCCCGTTGCACATGGGGCGCCATTATTTTGTCTGACGCAACACAGCGTCAGTGACTTATGCAATCTTTGACGCGCCTTTTAAAAGTGACGTCGTACGAGAAAATGATTGAAAAAGAACAGTGAAAACAAGGTGTTGAATCGCTTGCATCAGTTGGGCTAATGAACTTTACAGGTTTGTTAATAGCGCAATCGAAATGACGCCTCATGTGCAACGAGCTTAATGAATACAATGAGTCCATGCGCCACTAATTCAACGCAACGTTTCCCTTGTTCGTAATGTTTGTCACTCTCACATTTTATGTTAAAGACCACGTCAATCGATGATGCAGTCAAAATACAAAGTTCGTCAATATGGTCAAGAGCACCAAATTCGCCGGACGGATTTGATGACGATACTGAATCCGCCGAAGGTTCTGAAAATTCGTCACACCGGCTCACATTGGGTTTTGTTTAATTACACCAACAAAAAAAAACAACAAAAAAATCTAAACCTACGCTTCACCACTTGCTGTGAGTAATATTACACTTTGTACAGAATGGTATACCGTTATCTTAAGAGAGCCGACACGTTCTGGTTTCAGATAAGACTGGTTAAATGGTTTGAAGGTTGCTTTGATATCAGCCAATTTCTGTCAGTACTAAACTGATAGCATGATGTCATTGATGACGTCATACGTATAGGATGACTTAAAAATCAGTATTCGAAGTAATTTACCAACTACAGAGGTACTAAACGATTCAAATGCGAATTATATAACTAAACTTGAACAAGTATACTTTTATACAGATCCCTCACATCCACGGCATACCCAGATCAAATTCTGTTATCATGTTCATTTTATTTTCAACATATTGCTGTATTGATATTTTAATGTATATATTTTGTCGTTAACTTGTCAAGAGATAAGAGAGGTGAAGTATGAAGTATGATTAAGGCATGTGAGCATTGACGAGCATATTGTCCAAAATTGTTTAAAATATGAAATAGCATATATGGCCACTTTAAAAACAAAACCTCTCTCTCTCTCTCTCTCTCTCTCTTTCCCCCTTCTTCTTTCTATGACATACGGAGATGTTAAAAGACCTGATTTTTAAAAATCGCCAGTGTGACTGGACCTTCATTGGGTTCAACACGTGACTGCACCACCATGTTGATTCTACGACTAACCAATTGTTATATATGAAAGAGATGGACATTTGTTTAACATATGACCTTGTGGAAGTCTGAATGATATTACAATAATATGGACAATGTAACCCTAAAGGAAGTTTGCTCTCAAAATAGCTCCTTCATATACACCGAGCAAAATGAAAAATCAGCCCTTTGCCACAAAATATCCCAATGCCATCACCTTATGGAGTAATAAACTAAACCCAATAAGGTCCATTTCTTATAATAGATATTTCACCTAGAAATTGCATTGCAGTGTGTTCTGCTAAACCTGAAATATGCAC